TAGAACACGGGAGAAGAAACTTACTCGACGGAGGAAGATGGTTATGCGAATTTTTTTAGTCTTTTGAATATATTTAGGGGTGTAAAATATATTTCTTGTGTATTTAGAACAAAGTTGCAGTATTAAAAATAGTATTTTTAAAGAAAATAAAGAAATAAATGATTTTTATTAATAATTAATGTTATTTATTTATTTAGAAATACGAAATAACATCTAATATTAACATTTTATGACACGTAAAATTAAAAAAAGATAAATTTACGCAAGATTGAATTAAGTTCTGCTAGATCTCGATAATAATACAGTGTGCGTCGCCCTAAACACGTCATTTCGGATCCTCCCGATCCACTAACGGTGCTTTTAGATACCTCAAGCACCGGTCATTGTCACGAGTAAATTAACCCACAGAAACAGCCCTCTGAGTTTCTTGCCGGATCTTTTCAGTGGGTCGCGTTTCCGATCCGGTGGTAGATCCTGCGAAGCACTGCTCTTGCTAGGGTTCGTGTTAGCAACATTGTCAGGTTAGAGCCCAGTGAGCTCACTTAATCGTTCGGTGAATCTAGTATTATCCCTCGAGGTCACTAGAATAGGTGGGAAAAAAGACATGACGTAAGCCCGTGACGATATGGCAGTTGGCAGTTAAAGAAGTCGATTCTTAAATCATTAATTTTAGAGTCGATTTTCCTGTACCTGTCTGCTTAACAACCGTCCCCCATGATATTCACGGTGGTGAAGTCCCCATGATAAAACCCTAAATAACCCCAGTTACGAACTGCCGTGTTCAGTGAAGCGTTTATTCCGCAGGTAAACGGAACAGTACCTGTATATACACAGGTTATATCGATAAATGCTTACCAAAAATATGAACCCCGTAGGTGTCAAACCAAAAATAACTGCTACGTGAAATATGCCTACGTTTTTTTTATGAATACTAAAATGTATTTTTTGAAACAGTTGTATTGCATAGATAAATTAACGAACACACATAACATTTCGTCTTCTCGCATTAACACTGTATAATCTCAAAACTTACTAATTTTACAGGAGAGTGTTTTAAAGGTTTAACATGTAATATTTTTAATATTGAGTAATCATATTTACAACAATTTTTTTTCCAGTTACATTATCTGTCTTTTAAAGAAGATAAAATTATGTATTAATTTTGTTAATAGTAGTTAAAACATAGGCAAACTCAAAAAAAAAACTTAACTACGCTCTTTTGACAGTATTTATGAGGAAAATACTGGTGATACCAAATGTTTATAAACTCAATTTCGAACGTTTTGGAGATTGTACACTTTTAATGCGAAAAGACGATTTGGTGTTGCCAAGTGGTCACTAAAGTTTGTACACCGCCACCCACCTAGACTCGAGCTGAGATTGAAGTTCTGAATCTTATTGTTTAACGATCGTCCCATAATTGAACCACGAACTCATGGAACGAATTTTGCGGTTTTGTTTTTTGTTTTTGTTGGTCCTCACAGTGGTAGTAATTCGCGTTTTCGTAAACTTAATAGAGTAGTGCTTTTATATTTAGTACTTAATCTGTGGTAGTATGTATTTACATCACATCGGGACTTTTTGGCGGGAACGCGCGAGGAGTGAAGTTTGTGATATGTTTTATTTGGCTATTTAATGTTTCTTCAGGTTTACATGTGTAATAGGGGTGGTTTATTAACTGTTTAATATCTGTGAAAGTGCACAAATTTGGGAAAATGAAACAAAGCCGCTGAACGTAACTTCTCGGGATCCTCCAAAAAGTCCAATGAAATTTTTTTAGTAAATGGCCACCATTTTACTGAGATTATATTTCATCTCATCTCATTTCATTTAATTTGATCCCAGTTGATTAGTGTCTCAAATTAATCATTTTCATTTCATTTCACTCCATAATATCATTTTTCATAAAATATGAATAATATAAATTAAAATAAGACATGACTTAAAGGTCTCAGTCACCAGGTCATAAAATCTCTTAAAAAAACATCACATCGAGTGTCTTAATCGTTTAGCACACGAAAACTTTGCACAATGCTTAGGATAAAACCCAATTATTTTCGACTGTTGACTTTTTTAATATTTGTAATAAAACTTAAAATAAAATTACAAACATACATATCGAAATTTGTCCGAAATGTACCCGTGAAGTTAAGTTCTGATTTAAGGCAATGTAAATGGGTATTTAGCTTCTTAGAAAAAGCAAAATATTATTCAGCGAATCGAAAATAATGTAGATGAAAATAATTTTACGGTATGTACTTCGTACGTTGTTTATTGATTTTTTGAGTTTTACAATAAATAAAATGTCGAAATAATTAATAGAAAGATATTATTAAATTAAATTGATAATATCTTAAATATATACTCAGTCCCTTTTAAGTTGAAAATAGCTTTCACCAAAAAAAAAACACCTCGTAATTCCTACAAATTGAAATGACGGTCATTAATAAAATTCATTTTCACTGACATCGTTGAAAATAATTAAGATGAATAATGTTTAAATTATATCAAAAAGAAATTCTCGCGCGAACTTTGGATGTTCTTGGAATTTAGTTAGAAACGTACATATTAATTTAATGACAAATGTGTAATTTTAGTTTCTAATATTTTTAGTAGCTTCAAAATGATATTTGCATTTATGATAACTAGTGGTCCCGCAGTAGTCGAAATTCGACTATAATTAATTGAAATTGTAAGTATGTACATTATTATGATTCTATTTTCAAAGACTATTAGACTTCTATAATCACAAATTTCGCCAAGACTACACTATAGAGAAATATTAATAAAGACAAACAATATTTAATCTATTCTCAATTTGGGTAAAGACGTCAAGAACAAAAGTTAGACAATAAATAAATAGTATGCATGCGTGTGTGCGTCAAATACATGGTAGTGTGTGTAATGTTTTTTTTATTGATTTAATGTATTTTTAGGCATAATTTAAAAAAAATATTACATTCTGCACTCGTTCTCTATATTCTCTATAAGTGTGGGAAATTTTGTACTCCTCCGTTCGCGCAATTTTCGTAAAAAGGGATACAAAGTTTTTCCTTCACGTATTAATATATAGATATAGGTCTATTATTTATCGGGTTCTTATTAACAACATTACGTTTAATTACAGTTTACCCGTGATCATGGCGCTTACAATAGCGTCGGAATATTGGAACTTATTACACGTAAAATTTCTTGTGAAACCCTTTAAATAATTATGTTTATAATGTAGCCATCCGCGAAAATTAAAGAAATCCCTAAAATAAATACACATTAACGGTTATCAATTGCGATCAATGAAAACTTGATTTAAGATCAATCATAATAAACGAAATTGTTTAAATTAAAAAATAAAACAAAAACAAAACAAATAAGTTTCCTCAAATTTCTCCGCGATTCGTAGTAATCGTATCGATCGCTAAGATATATTCTTATTCGTAGCTTTCATCTCACGATGCAATCGTCTGGGCCACCCATCCGTGGTGTTTTCTACGGCACTGCACGAGCATAATTCAATTCATTATGTGCATTCCGAAGATAGCGCACGTAACAAAAAACAAAAATTATAAAATATTCGTGAAAAATGTTATTTTTATACACTAATTGAATCAAAAATTATGTTTTTGTAGATATTTTTGTTCAACACAATTCTCAGTTTCACTTGAATATTAAACTTATTACCAAAACAAAATGGCAGCTATTTTTAGTACAAACATATCGACGCTTGAAAGGCAAAAGTGACTAAGCGACAATGCGTAAACTTTACAGTAGACTAATTTGAAGTTGAAATTAATTTAAAATATACATGAGAAATACCTGAAAAAAAAAATATTTTAACGAATCTAGCTGTAGGATTGAAATGATTTTAATATACCTAGAAATATATATTTTTTGCACATTGAATATGGTTATTGCCTATCATTTATGTACAAATCAGTTATTGTCGCTTAGTCACGTTTGGCTTTCAAGCGTCGATATGTAACATTATAGAAAAAAATACCTGTATATGTATGTACATATGTAGGTAACGAGTCCACGACAACTGATTGTAATTCGTTTAGTGGAACCCATCGGCATCACAACTTGAAAATCGGCACTCAATCAATCCATCACAATAGTCCAAAGTCTCAATTGCATCGCACACCGGCTATTCCAGCAGAATGCATAACTGCCTCGCGACAGAAATAGGAAGGTTGGAAGGGAGATTCCTACCAGTGCAGGCTTAAAATATACTTCACTATACCTAAAGCCACAGACTGTATAAAGGGTAGCCACCACTTAATATGACTGACACCAATATTTTTAAAATGTGTTTGGGAAACTGAGAGTGTAATAAAAACATACGAAAACGTTTAAATATCACTACATAGCATAAAACAAAGTCGCTTTCTCTGTCCCTATATCCCTATGTATGCTTAAATCTTTAAAAATACGCAACGGATTTTGATGCGATTTTTTTTAATAGATAGAGTAATTGAAGAGGAAGGTTTATATGTATAATAACATCCATTAAATAGTGGAGAAATCAATAATAAATTACAGTTTTTGAAGGGAAGCGAGGGCGGGTCGCTAGTACCTATATAATAATTGTAATATGTACATATATTGTAATCTTATATTTGGAAAGGTAGGTAAGTACTTTAGTTTAAACAGAACTTTTAAAAGTTTTTGATTTAGCGATTTGATTCATGTTATTATACAATCAGCATAAAACTATTTATTATTTGAACTTTATATTACTTATATATTGATTGTAAATCTTAATCATAAATGAAACGCCTTTATGAAATTGTGTCATTTCTTACACATGCGAAGTTTGCCTCGCATATAATGATAGGAGTTTATTCGTTTAACAACTCACGTTGCATACATTAAGTATTTATGGATTTATGTATTATAAAATTAGCATCTTAGATTACGTGATACGGAAGCAAGGTGAACAAACACATACACACACAACCAGAGTGGAGATTCATATCTGATTAACGTGGTTTCTTTTTCAGAGTGGGGCGTCAACAGTGAAGCGGGCGAAGTGAGTGAGCCAGAGGCCGGTCGTATGCGTCCTGAAGACTATAGGCTCGTGTTTCTCAGCTCTGATTCGTCGTGTCGCGAAGACACGGAAGATTCGTCGTCGACGGCATCTTCCGCAGCGCCGCCCGCGCCCGACGATTGCGATTGGGACTATTTCGAACCGGGCGCGGCGGCGGCTCAATCCACTCCACCTCCACCGAAGCATACTCCTCAAGTCTGTCCGAGGCAGTGCTCCTGTGGTGCCGAGCCCCGCATAGTTGCCGTGCCCGTGCCTGTTCCTGTGCCAGTACCCGCTGCACTCTGGCCCGCATTACTAGCGTTTCCAACACAGGCTCCTCCCACGCCACACTGGAGCACATACCCCGGCTTCCCGCCTCTAGATGCCGCTGCGCTTGCGCGTCTCACTACAGCAGCTGCGGTCGCTGTCACCGCCGCCGCCTCCGCCTCCGCCACTGCTACCGCCTCCGCTTCTCTTCAAAATAATAAAATCGAAATGACCACCGTTGAAAGAACCGATAAAGCAATACAATCTGAAACGTCACAATTATCAGAGGCTCTCGATAGCGATAACATCGATAATGCTATTGAACTGCGAATCGAGAATGAAAATTCAGTTGGTATTAAGGTAATCGCGGAAGAAGACCGCTTGTCCGTTGTGTCGGAACAAGGTGAAAGTATGCCTGAACACCTGGAAGCGGAGAAAGCTTTTCCATCATCGAATGATTCTGGAGATTCTAGTGATTCAGACGCCGGTGTAGCTCGACGCAGCTATGACTTGACTAGTGGAGCACCCGAAGAACCGGCGACAACAGATGAGGATTCAGACGATTCGGGAGGTGGAGGAGGCCGGTTTTCGCGAGTGTTTGTTGTGAACCCAGCAGATTCTTCCTCAGATCTAGAAGATAACGCAGATAGTAGTGGAATTGACTGCGACGATTCATATGACAAGAAATCCGACAGCTTGGAAATTATTGCCGAGGAAATGATTATGCAGAATGAAATTATTAACTTACAGCCAAACGACAACCGACAACAAGGCAATGAAATTGTTCTGCTGGATTCTGTTAATTTTAGTGAAGAATACCCTGTGATCATATATGAGAATGTCTATGAATCAGATGACAGCAACAAGGCGAACAAGTCAAATATTGCAAAATTTTGTGACGAAAATATGCTTCGGAGTGAGACATGTGAAGAATTTAATAGTTTTAATGTGGCATGTAGTTCAAGTAGTGATAATGTAGATAATGTCAATGACGTAGATAATAATATTAATCGATACCAGAATAGTATATCAAATGATATTGAGTGCGACTCCTTGTCCAATAGTTTTTACTCCGATACGAGTGACATGAAAGTGAAGGTTAGCGTCGAATTACTTGATGATAGTTATAATAACAAAGACAAACTAGGGACCACCGAAATTCCACCGGCACCTATGTGTAACTTAGTACCTTCTCCAAAAACTGACCACGAAGAATCATGTTCGACCGCAGAAAAAATAGACCTGTTCAAAGGTATCGAACGCACTCTGAGTGAACTGTTGAAGAAAGAATTAATGCAGGAACAAGAAGCGGAGAAAATACACGCTTGCAGGCCGGTTTGTTCGGAAACGGTGGGGGGCGCGTGCACACCTGCCGCGACAACAGTTTGCCGCTCGCGTACGCCTTGTGCGGACGGTTCCGCGCGCTTCACTAGCCGCGTTATGATAACGCACGATCGCGTCTCCGTTGTCACGTCAGACACGACGCAGCTCATGCGAGATATAACAGTGCAACACACTAACTCTCAGAACGAGACAGAACCTGACACAGGGGCACAGCAAAACGAAAATGACGAACGAAATTCGGACGACGAAACGCCACAGCCTTCGGGTGGAGTGACTGTCGTTAGTAATGCCGACACTCTCTCGGCTGTCGTGTGCCTCGAAGAGGGGCTCGCTGACGACGACTCGTGGGTCGAGGACGTCAGCCATGACGATGACGAGGCCACCACAACTTCTGACACCGATTCAGGCGACGAGGCCTCCCTGCCCTCGCGAGGAGATGATTTTTCGTATTGTAGGCGTTCCTTAGATTTTACGTTGCATACCATAGTTGAAGAAAGTTGTGAAGAAAGCGAAACTGAGCACACCACAAAGAAACCGCGACCTTTGTCCGCAACTGAGCTAGAAAAATATTTTTTTTTCGGCCTAGGAGACGGACGAATTGTTCGCGAGGATGAAGAAGCAGTGTCAGAAACGTCCAGTGTGTGTAGTGAAGGAGGTGAATCGATTATTGACAGTGAGCAACCTAAACGAAACAGTGACAGTGATGACTTGGTGTCATCGCGCTTGGAAAAATATTTCTTATCTGGATTTATGGGTTTCAATCAAGAGAGACGAGACTCGGACGGTTCCGGGAGTGTAGGAAGCGACAGTGAAGGCAGACAGAGTCCGGAGCAAAGGAGGAAACGCCTTGTTCGGGCTCGCGGTACTCCTCGTTCGCATTCTTCTTCCCTGGATAACTTATTAACTGGCGAAGAACAGACACAAGATGGCCAAGAAGTATCAGATGCGTCCAGCACAGAAACTGAAGACAGACATGACTCATCTGATCGATTAGACATGCAAGGTGAATGCAAGAGAAAAAAGCAAGCGAAAAAAACGCGCGGTTCCCCAGCTGACGAGCGCCGACAGTCCGCAGAGTTCACTGAAGAAACACGTGATGATACTCGATCCGTTTCAGAGGGTGAAGACAGTAATTCAGTACCACGACCGGAATTCCCACCGCTCGGTTCCGAACTATCCGAATCTAAAAAACAGGCGAGCAGAGACAGCGGCTTTGTTGGCAGCTGTGACGATCTTCTACGAAACAGCGACAACAGTTCGGATTTCAGATCTCACGAACTTAAAACGGAATTGGAAGAAATCGTAGAAGAAATTAGGCCGGACTTAGATGAGCGGTTAGAAAGCTCCTCGACATCACGTCCACCGCAAAGCCAACTCACGAGAAAAGATAGTTTTAATAATTGGTCATCGGATGAGGAGACAAATCTCATGATGACAAAGATGCGGCAATTCTTCAAGCAAATGATACACACAGGGAACGTGCGCACGTCCACTCCGGCTTCAACAAATTCAGAGAGTTCGCGTCCACCGAAACCGCCACAACTATTGTATTTTGAAAGCGAATTAACGAGATTAATGAAAACAGTTCCGGGTATACGCGACGAAGAAGTGCGCGAAATCGTCGAATATTTATCAAGCGAAGACACGTGGAGTGACTCATACGATTCTTCAGACTATGCGGGCTCCGATATGGAGGGCACGGCGGCCAATAGGACAGAACTCAGGAAACAAATATCCGAGAGCTGTCGAGAGATAATCGACGAATTTGACAGAGGTAACGGCGACGCGAGGTCACTGGAGCGCGATGCGGCCGGTGCGTATCGAAAACTGGCGGCAACTTTGGGACGCGCCGGAGAAGGCTCGCCTCCCTTATTTGGGAAAGTCATGAGACATATCGGAGGGAGACTAGTGGCGTTGATGCATGAAGTATCGGGTGGTGCATCGCCGAGCACAGATGACGACAGCGCGTCTGAACCGGGAGCGTTAGCGCGGAGTAAATCTCACGACATTTTGGAAGCGACAGCAAGTCGGGGTAGTGTGGCTAGTGATTGTGAACGGTTTTCGTGGCGTGGTAGTTTCGAATCGGCGCTCCTGGCGGCCGACTCGCGCGGCACTCTGGGCGGTGCGGGATGTGAAGCTCGCAGATCACCCGCAGCCTTGGATCTGGCTGCGCAGAAGTCGCACTCTCGCAGTTGTGGAGCTATTAGTGGCAGTGAAGACAGACTTTGGCGTGGACGGAGAAGAGCGTCGGCTCCTGATGCGGAGGTAAGACAACAAACACATATACATTAGACGATAATAATGTATCTCTTAATAAATAAGTCATAGCACGCAAAACCGTCTGAAATTGGTGAATTATGATATGGTAAGATTTTTTATTGTCTACATGGGCGGACTTGTCTCAGTTTTCACAGTACAACGGCTAGGCTGTCCCACTCTTCAAGCCGAAACTTCACGGCATAAATAGGCAGGGTGGTGGTACCTGCCAATGCGGAGTCTCAAGACGTCCTACCGCCACCAGTAGAAAAGTGTAAAATTTAAGTTTTTAAATTACAGACTTGTCATACGAGCATATTACTGAAAAAAGATGTTTCAATTATCGATTTCATTTAGGTACATGTGTTTTCATTGATAGCAATGCGCATTCACTTTATTTAACATGATGATTGAATAGTAAGGTATCAATTACCCAGATGTGTGTATTAAAATTAAATTAACATTTATTATTTCATGAGTCATTGCAAACTTGCGCAATTGACTTTGATGGTCAGTGTTTATTTCGCTCAGACAAGAGAAATGCCAGGTTACCAAGCTGTTGTCTGTCGGTAAAGGATCGAATATCGCCTAAAGGAAAGCATCTCACTTCGTCTATTGAACATAATTGCATGTTAACATTGATGTATGTTACTGGAATGACTTTTGTTTCCTACTATAAATGTTTTGTTTCCTACTATAACTGTACAAGAATACACGGCGACATTCGATCATACATTTATAATGTGCTGTATGATGTTTAGACGAAATCACCCTTAAGCGAAGACAAGAAAATATATATTCTTATGAGTTAACATGTAACATAATACTTAAACCCGGATGGATCCCTTTTTGGGTGCTTTTTAGGCGCTTTAAGCACCGGCTATTGTCCTAGTCGAAATCTTCAATGCGAACTAGCCCATAGATACACTGAGTTTCTCGCCGATTACGATTCCAATTCGGTGGTAGATTCTGCGAAGTACTGCTGTTGCTAGGACTGGTGTTAGCTAACTCTCAGGCTGGGCACCGTGACGTCACTTATCAGTCATAGCGTAACTGAAATCGCCTCGTATAGTAGGGGAGCCCAAGCGGGGATCTCGGGATTTATTAAAGCGCGGCAGATTAATATACAGGGGTATACATTGTACCCGGTTAAGTACCTCCACAAAAACCAGCGAATAATTTACGTAAAGTTTCTTTAAACGAACTCTTATGGAGGTCTATTAATATATTATTATACCAACTCTAATCTCTCAGTTTAAAAAAAAATTAAGGTTTCGTTACATAATACATTTATAATAATATAACAAAATAAATTAAAAAAAGTATTTCAAATTCCATAAAGATATTTTCATTAGATATTCTAATGAAATAAACCTAAATAAATCCTATAAAACAAAATTATAAAAAAAAATCACTTCTTCAACAAAATAAAACGAGAACTTTGTCACTGTAGTCGAAGTAAATTAAATAGGCATTTTTATGGATATATCAAAAACTACAGAAAGGTTAAAAAAATTATTGAGACATGCTTTCAAAGAATCATGAAAATCGATACACCTAGAAAAAAATTCTGAGGTAACACACCGTTTTGAAGTCGGTTAAAAATAAATATATAGTTTATAATGTCATAGTTTTCAATCGCTCAAGTAATCACTTCAATACCACTTAGCTACAAGCAGTGCTCAAAAACATATTATTGCGATGTTCTAAAATTGTTACTCTGTTTGTTTTTGAAATTTATATTGACAGGCCGATAACTAGTACATCCAACTTTAGTTATTTTTATTGCAACATCCATAATAGATGTTAATTAATATGTAATTAACGAACCAATGAAAATCTGAATTATTCATTAAGTCTGTAAATGATTTAAATAAAGTATTGTGTAAATTATAAACGAACTAAGTAGTAGTATTATTATTATACCTACTTATCTAATTATACAGGAGCATACGGGGTACATAGTGTGCTGCATGGAGACTTTTGTTTTTATTGCTTAGATGGGTGGACGAGCTCACAGCCCATCTGGTGTTAAGTGGTTACTGGAGCCCATAGATATCTACAACGTAAATGCGCCACCCACCTTGAGATATAAGGTTTCAAGTATAGTTACAACGGCTGCCCCATCCTTCAAACCGAAACGCATTACTGCTTCAGGGCAGAAATAGGCAGAGTGGTGGTACCTACCCGTGTGGACTCTCAAGAGGTCCTACCACCAGTAATTACGCAACTTATATAATACATTAAATGTCGTATGTTCGTTATTTTTGTCGTCATTATAATAAAATTATTCAATTAAGATATAATTTTTTCTAACTAGTTTACTCATCAATATTTTTTAAACAAGCTTGGCATCATCGAGCCTGATTAATGTCGCAATGCTAATTTCTAATGAGTAATCGTTCAAGAACGAACACGAGGTTTTTTGTTGTGATTTTATTATTTATACACGACACTATAACGATAGTAAGTTCTCATTCATTTATACGTTTGTAACCGCATTTGACATGCGTAAAGATTACGCGGCCTACACCAGACCGGAAAACCATAACTGAGGCAGAATTGGGCGGAGCGATAACAGATACTTGTTCGGAGTCATAACTAGTCCCAACAAGTCATATTACCGGTGTTTCAGATAGGAATTTTAAATCTAAACTAACTAAAACTGTGAAGACGTCGTGGTCTAAAGGATAAGACGTCCGGTGCATTCGTGTTGAGCGATGCACCGGTGTTCGGGGGGCAGCCGTTGTAACTATACGGCATTTAAGTTGTCTATGGGCTCCGGTAACCACTTAATTGAGGTGGGCCGTGAGCTCGTCCACCCATCTATGCAATAAATAAAAAAAGATAACCTTGTTAATACAAATAGCATAAGAGCGTATATGCAAAATAATCTAAGAGCGATCGAAGTCGTACTACTACATTCAGCTGTAATTCCTTGCAGTCGGAGGAGGAACAGCGTTCGGGATCATTACCGCGGTTACCGTCTGTGACGGGTACGACCGCGACTCCGGTCGGGCCGGTCAAGTCCGCCCGGTACAGAGCACCGGGTTTCCGTACAGCGACACGTGCTGCGTCCGCGCCAGGTCTGCACGTGCCGAGGCGAAGAAGGCCACCGCCCACCCCACAGCAGCCGCCACCGGCCGCGCCGGCGTCTGCACCTAGTTTACAGGGTAAGTAAATCACTACAAAACACCAATATATATTTTTTTATATATATTTCCTACCTATGCTGGTAGCTTTGAGAGGCTATTTCAGCTTCTCTTTGACGTGTACGTGAGCCCACGGCGCTCAAACCGGGAGTGTTACTAACACTGGTCCTGACACTAATATTTCTCGTTCGGGGTTCCTCAAATTTTAAACATCGATGTGGAATACTCTTGCATGCCTTAAACATCTTAAATCTTTTGATTTTTTTTAATTTGCATGTGCATCTTTGCAGACTGATATTCACAGTGACTATCAAATTAATTTGCGGTTTTCAAAGATTTATTGACGCGTCAGTCGTCTCAGGTCAATTTAGCTTTTTTCGTTCAAATCAATGGACAAGCGAAACGGATAATATTACGTTACTTGTTAAAGAGATAAATAGATATAAATATTATACTGTGTACGTGTTTGCACATGTGACATCACGGGCACACGTTTGCAGTAGTAGAAATAAAAAAACTTGACATTACTATTTTATTTAACGAGACCAGTTATTCTGGATACTTGGATTTACGTTTATTATTTACTCATATGCTTGGAGTAGGTAGCTTTTTTATCATTTACACTATTTTTTAGAAATTGCGTATCTGTTTGAATGCTTGGACAGACATTGTATTATAAATCTAAGACTTAGAATTCTTGTCTCTAGGTGAGTGGCGGCATTTACGTTTTTGATGTATATGGGTTACAGTAGCCTCTTAATACCAAGTAAGCCGTGAGTTCTTCCAAACATCTAACCAATAAAAAAATCTGATTCAGTTTTTTTTTCGGCCGCTAAATCAGTTTTTTTTATTAATATTGAGCGCTTTATCTGGTTTTCACAATAACATATAACTATTACCGAAGTACGGAAACATTTTAAACGAATTTCAATAGAAAGAAAAGCTAAAAGTAATTAGAAAAATGAAAAGACAATAAGTTATGAACCAATTTCGCACTTTACTTTTCCTCTATTGTACTAAAGCTTTGATCTGATTGAGTGATGGTGAAAGCTCAGTGTGACACCAACAACATTGTGAATAAATTTTAATTCAAGCAAGGCAACAAATAATAGCTTTAAAAAATTAAAAACTTCATTGCGTTAAGAAAAGAAAAAGTTAATTAAGCCAGCTTTTGAATTGCTTCACTTTCTCACACGGGAGCCAATTATATTTTGTTATGCAGAGACAAAGTAAACATCAGTCAGTCAGTTAAATATGTATTTACACAATTATATTTGTTCATAGTCAATAAGGATAGTTAAAAAAAAACATATTTGGTGTATATTGTATTTCAACCCAATGAAAACAGGGTAAGATCATCTCTGAAGTTAAAAATAATAACCAAATATTTAAAAAAAACACCAGCATTGAAACTGACCCACAGTTTTATTAAAATAACCTATAAATTTAAGACTACATAATACTACAAAAAATCGTTTTAATCTAGGAAAATATTAAGGTTAAACTTCGACCACAAAAGATACATATAAATTAGAACAAATTCTTATTTTTCGCATTCTTATATCCAAGTGCTAATCACTTGCTCAAATGTTGTCTCTTGCTACGTTCCGATCAACAGTTCATATCATATTCTAAAGGCCACTTTGTCTCCGTAAGCGAATTGTAAAATATTTTTGTGTATGAACGTGACGTTATACACAGTGTCTGCCTAAACCTTAATTGCTGATCTACGATTACCGGTCATCGTTCTAGTCGAACCTGTCGCTGGCGACGAAAGGCTCGGCGAGTAAATAAACCCACAGACACAGCCCACTGAGTTTCTCGCCGGATCTTCTCAGTGGGTCGCGTTTCCGATCCGGTGGTAGATTCTGCGAAGAACGGCTCTTGCTAGGGTTCGTGTTAGCAACATCATTAGGTTTGAGCCCCGTGAGCTCACCTACTAGTTAAGGTTACGCTGATATGGTCTCTGTAGACCATCAGCTTAGATAGGAAAAACAATGCTGATTTACTGCACTGCGCTTAAAGCGTAATGCATACGAACATTGAAACGAATCTTTATCTTTTCGAGCATGAAATAGCGAATACTGATGTAAATGATTAGATTAGAGTAACTATTAAGTATTTGGTGTTACGTAACGACGGAATTCCAATCCAAAAAGTAATTTTAGCAATTAAATCTATTACGTAAAGTAAGCGGAAGCTTATTTTACGATGCTTTCTCTTATTCACAGCAAAGGTTTTGAAGATGTCCATCAATTATCGCGAAACAGTAGTTTATTCATACAATGCAGATACAAAATTCAAATACGGAAACTACAATGGTTTTTTTTTTATTCCTATTTTTTTATCGTAAAAAAGGCCTTTGTAATGAATTTCGAGGTAGGCATTGCCAATCATTTTTTGCGAGAAATATCACACAACATCGTTGGCCAAAACATTTGTCAAACGACATACATACATGAAATGACAAACTGGAACAAAAACACGACGATTAGATTAAGTCCAGCTTCGTAGTATCATTTAGATGTTCTTTTAAATCAATCTCAGTGTTTTTAGTGTACAATTTTTTATTGCTTAGATGGGTAGACGACAGCCCACCTGGTGTTAAGTGGTCACTGGAACCCATAGACATCTTCAACGTAAATGCGCCACCCACTTTGAGATATAAGTTCTAAGGTCTCAAGTATAGTTACAACGGCTGCCCCACCCTTCAACGCATTACTGCTTCACGGCAGAAATAGGCGGGGTGGTGGTGGTGGTGGTACCTACCCGTGCGGACTCACAACAGGTCCTATCACCAGTAAAAAAATATTAATTAAAAATATCTGCTAGCTAGATCGATTGCTGCTAGCGTACATAAACAAAAACAGCGTATACATTTAAATTATGATCTAAATTTAATATTAAAAGAAGATGTGGTAATGAAAAAAAAAACTCAATCGAATTCGGAAACAGAAATCATAATTGAAGATCATTTAATATCAATGTCGTAGAGGCACGTTCCTGCAGTGATTATACCGTGCAGCAGGAACTAAAAAGCAATGTCACGTTAAAAACGAAACCATATTGTATTTTTCACTTAGCGGCGTGTCCTTCTGTTTGTTGCAAATCACGCCATAATACATACAGTCCATGACCGAAACAAATTACTTGCTCCACAGTCAACTGGTATTTACTAACTATTGTTATATTGGTGTATGTTTAGCCCACTTAACGAATTGCATGACCGTATTGTAAATAATGCAATAAAAAAAAGCTATTTTGTCATTTTTAAAACAGACAAAATATGTTTACGGAATTTACTACATTCTATAAATGAAGTTGCGCATTTGGGCGCAAGTCTTATTGGGGAAAGTTTATGTTATTCAAAGTCAACAAAAGAACTATAAAATTAAAGTAATTTTGTATGTGACGGCATCTAAACGAAGATTTTTTTACCTTCTTTAATCCAATATTTTGTACTTTGTTGTCCGTAAGTTGCAGACAAAATTAGCCACTACATCATCGGTACTTCTGTCATGGTCAATATGGAGTCTTGAAGATTTTAATTTTCAAAAATTTGCAGCCTGAATGCGTTTTACGCCTTACGTCATTTGAGCTCAAAAAATACGACAAGCTTGTACACCATTCGTAGTCGTTACTGTTTAGTTTGACGTGAACAAAAAATTATACTATTAATAGATTTATATGGTACTTTAAGTGGAAATTTGTTAAAACTACTTTATTGTCATACTAGCTTTTGCCCGCGACTCCGTCCGCGTGGAATAGTTACTTTGGCATAACGCTAAATTTTACTCCCACTTCATTTACGAAGAAAGTGAAAATATTTTTGAATTATAGAATGTTAAGGAGCTATTTAAACCCCTATTTTGAAACATTATTTATTGGTGCTCCACTTGTATTGGTCTTACCGTGATGTTATATAGCCTTCCTCAATAAATGGGCTATCTAACACTGAAAGAATTTTTCAAATCGGACCAGTAGTTCCTGAGATTGGCACGTTCAAACAAACAAACTCTTCAGCTTTATAAAATATATTCAAATCTTGTGAGTCCCAGATAATATAATATCAAGAAATCAACTCTCGACCAAATATAGTATGTCAAAGCACCGGTTACTTTGATAAAAATATACGTAATTTAAAAATAAAAAAACTACTTGCAAAACATTTTAGAATGAAGTAACACGTAATGTATTCAAAAAAGACAATGCAACTTGTTAATTTTGGTGTCACGTTCAATGCATTTGTTCGACTTGTTTCCGAAACGCTGATAAAAGGTTGGAACTTTGAATGCCGAAAAAAATATTTTGAAGAACATTCCAGAAGATTTATTCTTGTTGTTTTCAATTACCGTCAACCAAATGTGTTTATTTCTCCTTATGATTTTAATTGTATGTTAAAGCGAAAAGGCCCCTATGATAATATTGATATAAGTCATCAAGCTCTCTTAACACACAGAAAAAAAAGCGAACACCATTTTTAGTTGAAAAACTCTTACCAAGCAGTAAAATGGAATGTCGAATACGTACTCAAAACAATAACACCGCAACATTAGCATATTCAGGTCAGAAACTAATTACATCACCGAAGCAACTTTCCTACGGCCCGTAGAGGAAGTTCTATACCAATTCCAATCTGATCATACGATTATGTAGATTAACTAGAACAAGTCGATGTTATAAAACAAACTGTTATTGCGCAACTCGTTAACAATATATTTCTTTCTTTTTTCGGACTACCGACTCCAAAGTAGCATTACACATACTATGGGAACCACAGATTGGTCTTCATACTTATACTATCTATATATTAATACGTTAACCAAAAACTTTGTACCCCTTTTTACAAAAGTTGCGCGGACGGAGGAGTATGAAATTTCCCACACTTATATAGAGAAGAAGTGCACACTGCTATTATTATTTTTTAATAATGCATAAAAGATACATTAAATCACTAAAGAAAACATTACACACACTACATACCATGTATTTGACGCACACACGCATGCATACTATTTATT